TTGCAGACACGGCAGATGTACAATTACAATCTCAAAACAGACAAACTGCTGCAGGCACACAACATTCGATACATTATTGAATCATGAGCTGTGACAAGTCTGCTTCCCTCGTCAATCATGCGTCCAACACTGGCCATGGAAAGAGGGGTAGTGTGAGTCTAACTATTGAGGGGGCGGGGACAACATTCGATACATTGTTGAATCATGAGCTGTGACAAGTCTGCTTCCCGCGTCAATCATCCGTCCCACACTGACCATGGGAAGGACGAAGTGTGAGTCTAACTATTGAGGGGGCGGGGGACCTCATCGGAGGGGGCGGACAGGAGGAGGGGGCATGGGTCAAACTTGGAAAATGTCATGGAAGTTTATAAGGCCTACAATTAGGGGGGAAAGCAAGAGGTCTTATCGTCTTTAGTATTGACCTTTTCCCCTGCTCTTTTTCTTTTCTGTTTGTCCCGCATATTCGTTGAGCAGGGGAGGGAGGACGATGGCCTCACATTTTCTCCTCCCCCAATTGCTCCGGGCTTTGTAAATTGTATTTACGACAACAAACCCAAATCATGCTTGGTTGAAAGTGTGTTTCAGGTTATGGTTAGGGTAAAGCTAGGTATAATCAATAGACTCAGGTTCAGGGTTGAAGTTAAGAATTCGGTTACTAGTGGTGTAGGAAATGGACCCTGGGCAAATGTCGCAGGATTCAGTTTCGTACAACCAGCGCGCGGGGAGGGGAAGGAGTAATGCACCCTCTGCCTCCTGTATCTACGCCACTGGCCGTGGATATACATCACCCACGATGATGTGCTCCATCATTTCTCTACCAGGATAGTACATCGACTCAGAAAACGAGGACACAAGTACGGCGAGAAATGTTGCAAATTCTTCTTCTTCTGAGTCCAATAAACCCATCTTGTCTCAACCAGTTCGTCTACACCAACATCAACAATTACTGTTCTAAATACTGTCACTGCATCTAACTGTTTTATTACTATTTTGCTACCCGTAAGGTCTAAAAGTCTTTTTCTGACATCAATAAAGTATAATTCGATTGGTTTTACCCTGCAACTTTCTTCTTTTCTAAGTAAAATGAATAGATAGTGTAGCGAATGAATACTTTACCAATCAAGTGTTTGGTACACTTTTTAGATAGATACATAAAATTGATGATGTACTTTAGTTCAAAATGGGCAATGAATGGGAGAAAATAGCATTTCACCTTTTTACGATAATGTGACCAGTTATTGACAATACCTTTTTATGTACGACATGACCGCTAAGATCATCGGAACTTGAGATGCAGAAAAAAGGGTGACACTCTGACAAACTACGATTTACAAATGAACAAATCTCCTATTGAGCTATCACAAACGTGACTGCACTTTGCTATTACAAATTGCAATTATCGTTTTGTTGAAGTCGGTAATTCGACAATTTGACAATTCGGCCTTCAGCAGTCATCTCAGGATAGAACCCTTAGAAGCTCATGAATACGTCACTACATGAGCAATATCGATGTGTCAATGACAGTTAACTATATTTATTTTCATCACATTCAATTCCAACTTCAATAACAAATATAGTGGTAATCCTGTCTCTGTATTGATTTAGTATTTTATTTCTTCTTCGACTCCTCGAGCAAATTAAACATTAATACGTTAGAAACATATTTGACTTTTTCACTTGTCTTAGGGAGGCAAACCTGTGTCGAGAGAACCTCGGGTTATGGCCTGGGAGTGAGTGTGACGAAACCATCAACGCTTCGAATTAAGACGGTCGAACGTGTAGACTTAGGAGATTAATCAGATGATGTCGAGATGAAATAAAGTGATGCGCCAGATGAAGCTCCACGGAGTGAGGAGGTAAAGGTGTGCAAAGTAAGAGCATGAGAAATGAAATGGGGAGGGTGGCATATACATTATTATAGTTTATATTCGGGGACGCAGACGTTCGAGTGGGGAAGGAGTTCTGTAAAAGTATTTTCATCCCCAAACATGAAGAAGAAAAAAATATTCTTATAAGTTTGCAATAAAACAATTCTTTCATTTTAGTGACGCCAACGGTTTAAAAAAAACTTTCCATTTTTAAGGACTGCAGAGACTTAGTGAAATGATGCTCCATTTAAGGATAACAAAAGCTATAGCTTTCAACAGCTCTCCAAAGCTAAAGCACCACAAAACAACCTATAAACACTGTCAGCAGTTGTTCAACAAGATACATGCCAGGAAAATAGATACGTGGCATAGTTCAGACCACAACAGTTTTCGAATAACCAAGGAGCTACTAGGGTCGCCGTGAATCTCATTGGAATAACAGATCCAATTTCAAAGTATATACATGTGGGTTGGAGCAAATATATGTGACTGGCATTCTTGCTTGGCGGTAAATTCATGAAGGTGTCAGAATTTGGGTTAGTATAACATCATAATGTCGCAAGCAAAATGTTAGGTCTATGAAACCCAAACCCGTTGATAATGGAGCAACAGAGTTATCAGTAATGACTGCGTGGTACTGAAAGTTATAACCTGACACATACCAGTATAACCTGTGGAATAGATAGATATATGGATGTTGGTATCCGGGTGCGACATCTAAGGCGTGTCTGCCAAAATGATAGATCGTTCCAGATGGAAGCATCTGCGGGACCCGGCATCACATTCGCTTGGTAGATCATCTTGTTATAATTCCCTGAATGATTATCCTGATGTTTGCACTATGTCTGGCATGTCACCCACCCATCCTACACGTGTACAAATACATAATTTGGGGGTATGTTGTAGGGTATGGCGTGCTTCTCGCGCTGTGTATTAGGCCTTGTCTGCCAGTCAGCCGAAATCTTAGGTATGTTAATTATCCTGAAAATGAATGATCCCTTTTCTCGTCACAACTTGCAATACATTCGTGTACATTATACGAACATAATCGAGATAATGTAAAAACATACATGAAACCTGATGTCTTACTCTTCATGTCCCCCTTGAACTGACAGCATCGGACACATTAGACACCTCATCACCCCATTTTCCCTCTCCCTCTACCCCCTCCCCCCTCTCTCTCTCTCTCTCTCTCTCTATATATATATATGTCTCTCTCCTATTCTCTTCTCGTCTCTCTTTCACATCAAATATTTAATCTGCCCACTTTAATTTGGGTTGTTACCTTGGATTGAATATCAGAGATATTTGTGAAAACTAAACGATTCATTTCAATCTTTCAATCAATAGCCCTTCTCTACGTTTTACTTAAGAACGGATATAATTAGTATACTCTATTATGACTGTATCATTTCGATCTTTAGCGATTCATCTCAATGTTTTCACTCTAGCCCCCCTCTTTTTCTTCTCCCCCCTCTCTCTCTCTCTCTCTCTCTCTCTAAAAAGAAACCCTATTTATTGCAGAATGTGCTTAGGGCAAAGATACACAACAACGCATCGCCGAATGTCAACTTAATGGAGAAATTGGCCGCGGGGATAGGCAAAAATCGAGGTGAAAAGAGGCAACAGTTCCGTAAGGCTCTACTTTAACGGTAAGCAAGGGAGACCGTGGGTTTCAAGAGCTCTTAAAAAACCACAGGAAAACCGAGGACGGTAATATAAGAGATCCTTAAGACAATAGTTGGAGGAATAGCAGGAGGAAGGACGTTGCGAATGTCGATGCTTGCGATCACTTCACTCAGTAATCATGGTCGAAACAACAACCAGCATAATTATACATTTAACCCTTGACCCAAGTATAGTGTATCATTGACGGTGAAGGACAAGGTATCTTCAGAATGATGACTATTATTGAAATTAAGTTTTCAACAACAATAATAATCACAGAGCCCATATTGAGACTTCATGATATGCTTTTGATACGAACCAAAGCCAGATATATGGTGGGTGCGGCCATTTCATTGATGGTGGTGTGCTGTGATTTGAAATAGTACTTATCATTGTTGTTTAATTGCTACTTATCCATTTAATGATAATACATATATAAATAACAATAATAATAATTTGGTCTTATTTAACATGGGTAGCCTCATTAGTATCAATACTGCTCTTCCCACGGGCCCTCCATTAATATAACCCTAACACTTGCCAGGTACCCATCTACTCGTAGGTGGAGAGTCACAAATGTCGATTAACGTATAATACCAAAGAACGTTAGAGCCCGGCTGGGATTCGAACCCCCATTCCTTGCATTAAGAGTCAAGTGAATGAACGTACCACAACACCTTTTTTAAAATTTTAATCCGTCACACCAATACTCATCACTCTTTTTTTCTCTCAGTTTTCCAAAAAAAATGACAATCAATATCATAATACAATATATCATTCATACACCTACGTTAAGGACTATTATCAGTTATTTTCCTAGTCGATGTTGTCATTGCATCATAATTGAAATGTTTCACTCGTTTCTATTCATCTAATTGTATAGGGATGGTGGATCCGGGTTCGGGTGCACTGTACACGCACTAATAAAAGCAAAAAGTCACCAATGATACAAATGATGAATAAAAGTATTATTATCAATTAGTATGATAAACATTATTAATGCATGCCTGCTATCAAGTGTTTTTCATTACCCTTTGAAACAATTTTTTGGAAGGACATTGTCATGATCAATATTTAGAATGTGACCTTTAGTTGATTACTTTGGGGATCAATTAACTGATAGTACATGTACAATCAAACATAATTCCCGATGAATAGCAATGCAAGTTTTTGCCTTAATGTCATAAAGGATGTGTGATATAGTGCATTGATCTCCTATACAAATATACGTATAGTAACATGGAGGGTGAAACTGTGTAGTCAATACCATCATTATTTGAGTGTTTATCGAGTATTGTCTCTCAAATGATCAAGGCCATCGTTTGTAAATCATGCGCTTAAAATAAATTTCAACTGTCAATCGCAACTGATGGGTCACATGTCACCTGTTAATTGTGCCAATTATTCCTTTTAAAGCGAACTTACAAGAATGTCGTGAAGATGCAATATTTTCTAAAAACTTACTCTGATATGTTTTGTCTAGGATGTTTGAGATAATATCGGTCCCGTTCGTGATGCTCCCTCCCTCGCTCAGTGTTTGGTTGAGAGCTTTAGCGTACAGCATCACGGCATCGTAAAGATAAGCAGCATCCTCTGTGATCTAGACGGATTTTAGAAATGAAAGGAAAACACAATTTTTTTTTAAAAGCGATATTTTAACCTTTCAAATTGGTTTGGAGACCGATTTACGCTTGTGTAAAACGTCGCGATATCTATGTCAAAATGCCATGAGCTGTGAGCTGTGGTGACACTGATTCTGCATCAAAATCGAGTCGTTTTTGTTTAATAAGGGTTAAGTTTTAGGATATGTTGATCACAACAATCACACCATTCTTTTCTTCATTCGTGAAATTCTTTGTTTTAATGTTTATATATTTAAATGAGGGAACGTATTTAGACATTCATCATTATGGTTTGAATCGAAAAACTAACATTATAACAGTTAACAACTAAATAATCCAAACACTTCCCAAGTTTTATATTATTTCTAAGTATGTGGAGATTTGATTCGTTCCTTAAGAATGTAACATATTAGAGCTGACATTTAAAAGTATTCCACAAAAGCCGAAATTCAACCAGTACACCTTTCATTCTTGAGTTACGAGAAACAACCATCCCCCCCCCCCCAAAAAAAAAAAAAAAAAAAAAAAAATGGAAAAAAAAAATGGAAAAATGAAGAAAAATGGATTTTTTTTTTTTTTTTTTTTTTTTTTTTTTTTTAAATGAAAAAAAAATAAGAAAAAAAAAAAATCAAAAAAAAATCAAATGTATAAGGAGTTTTAATAATTTAGTTGTTAACTGTTGTTGACATAATATTCATTTTGGAATGTACCTCAATGGGATATCCTAATTCCTCAAGGAGACCAGAGTCGAAGTTGAAGGGCGGCTCTGAGAGATAGGCCTTTGCTTCGATCTTGAATCCATTGAAGTCAGGACTCATGGCACTCGTGTAGAAGAGCATGAGGACGTTATGCATGTACCTGATGCGTTGGGAGATACCATCGGGACCTTCAGCCGGGTAGTAGACACCTGCGATTAAGGTATGGAATCAATTATGATAATAATAATAATAATAATAATCATAATAATAATCATAATAATGAATGCATTAATAATAATAATAAAATAAAAAAAAATCAATACCAATAACAGTGATAACGATAATAATAACAATAATGAGGCCTAACAAAAAAGATGTTGTATTGCTCTTTAAGTGCCAAAACATGGGTCGGTCGATCGGAAATGTTTCTTCTTTTTTTTTACTCCCTCTTTGGGCTGATATTTCTCAGATCTGAATGCTTTAATACATTTTTTTTCTTCTAAAAAACGGTTTAAAAAAAAAATGAAATTAAAAAGCCGACAGTAGATTTCAAGATTTTTGGGTCGGTTGCAATAAGGGCGATACAACATCTTTTTGTTAAAGGCCTAATAGTAATAACAATAATAATCATCATCATCATCATCATCACCATCAAACTAATGGTGGTAATTCTACATGTTATTGTAACACGAGATCAAGGTGGTCGCTTAAAAAGGGGTGTGGGGTGTAACCACACCCTCTTTTCTTTTGACGTTCTCGGACTTTTTTCTCAATGATAAGGTTAACACTCCTTCTTCTTTTCAAAATGGTCCAGGGGTGTCCCTTCTAAAAAAAAACACCAGGAGTATTGTTTTATTTTCGGTAAGAAATGAAGACCTCTTTTGGTATTTTTATTTTTTAGGAGGGAGGGTTCTTGGAATTGTTTTCGCCCAACAGGTCCGCTAATTTGGTTCGATACCTCCATTAATAATGTTAAAGTGACACCCCTAACAAGATAACCTGTTAAGAAACAGGTGTATAGGTTACCCTAGAGGAGACACCGATGATTATATTATCCCGCATCAAGTGCACCAATGCTAAAACCAGGCCTGGCTTACTAATGTTATTAGGTGAAACGATCCACAAGAAGGATGGGGGGGGGGGGGGTGTGGATACATGCCTACCCCATCTTGTTTATCGGGTTATTAAGTCAGTTAAAGTAGGCAGGGAATCATCATCATCATCAATCTACATTATTTGGCTTTTTGACATCCTCAAGATCCACTCATGGATCACCGAGTAAGGTGATACGATTGAGTAAATGCAGTTAATGTTCTAGCATATCCTCTTCCATTAAAGTCAGCTTACGCAATTGGGTAGTCGGGCCACGGTTTAAAAAAAAAACAGTTTATTGGGTGAAATGTTAGTCGATGAAGTGTCATGCTTCGCGCTATCCTTTTTCATTAAAGTCAGTTTACGCAATTGGGTAGTTGGGCCACGGTTTAAAAAAACAGTTTATTGGGTGAAATGTTATTCGATGAAGTGTCATGCGTTGCGCTATCCTCTTTCATTAAAGTCAGTTTACGCAAATGGGTAGTCGGGTCATGATTTAAAAAAACAAACATTTTTGGGGTGAAATGTTAGTCGATGAAGTGTCATGCGTCGCGCTAGCCCGTGTCTAGTTAGATTATTACTTGTAATGGAAGAGGTAAATGTTACATTTACTTTTGGAAAGAGGTGGAAAAATAAAGTTGTAGCCAATGACCAATCTAGCTAATATGAAACAGTGCCTAAAAAGGAAACTTTAAACGTCAAAGAAAAGAAAGAGGCATAATAGACAAATCAAATAGCCCAATAATTACCTTCTAAAATCAATGAAACACATTCGATATACATTGATTACACAGTGGTTTTTCACGTTTAACATGTGGCCATAGAAATGTGTATTGACAAAAAGACTACTCCCTGGCGTCACATATCATTTCTAGTATAACTATTCTCGTACCATTTTGTAGGAAAACCAGTCCGATAAATTTCCCCTTATAGATAACATGTTGTTACTATATTTTCGATTGTTTTCCACGAATATGAATTCACAGATTTATCAATAATGAAAATGAATAATTGTAACCACTGGTCTCAAAAACTAGACCAGTGGATACCGTTAAAAGGACCCGGTTTCATAAAACGAATTTTCAATCAAACAAATTGGAATCATGTTTCATCAACTTTGCACAGAGCCAAACAAATAGAAGGATTTTAGTTGCTTATAACAGCTTACATATTTTGAAATTGATAAATATTTATTATGAAACAGGGTTCAAGAAGGGCAATGACCTTACCCTTTATAAGTCCATCTCGGTTAGACTCGTCGAAGATCTTGAAGAAGATGGCGACGACGATGTAATCTCCATCGTCAAGAAGTCCCTTTTCATCGAGGTCCTCAAGGAAAGCGTGTAACTCGTACGGCTCCGCGGGTATGAAGACGTAAACTGTGAAAGAAGAGCAATTAAGGGATGGATTGCTTTAATAATGATCCTGTATCATCCAGGATTTCTCGGCCACAAATGGTCGCAAATATATGAACACACGGTAAGAGACCTGGGGAGTGCTTCACAAAGACTAAGATCGACTTTAAGTTGGACTTAACTATGGCAGGCCTTTCATGCCCTTGTTTTCTTTCACAAATTACTAGCATTGGTCTCTCAAGGGACGTACAAATAATGGTCGCAAATCTACATAATTTACATTGAAAGAAAGAATATTATCTAAAGATCATAACGGTGAGTGCAAACAGTGGCATGAACGGCCTGCCATAGTTAAGTATATCTTATAGTTGATCTCAGTCTTTGTGAAACACTCCCCAGTTTCATTTTGTGAATTGTACAGCACGTAGCGCTATCACAAGACGCTTCCTCAGGGAGACAGAAAAAAGATGAATTAATCTGGATTGAGGACAATGATGTCATTACTGGTCGTGACCTGAAGATAACTCCGATATTGTTGTGGGTCAGACAATATGTTTGTCCGATGTTGCTTAGTTTGTGCTTTTAAGAAAACCATCAATATTTTGGCAAGATAAACATTATTGTATGTTCTAAATAAATAGCGTTCAGACTTTAAATATTTCTATGTAAATCTTCTATGTAATATTCCATTAGCTTATGAGAAAAATATATTTCGTCAATATCAGAATCTATTTTTTTTCTTTCAATGTTCGACTTAACCTTATTTTGTTTATCCTTTCATTTGTATTTTTCATTTTGTTTGCATCATGCTTGAAACTTTTTCGAAAAGAATTTTGATTTGCCTTTTAAATTGTTTTCTCCATCATGTAATCCGGTCACATCTAGCAAGGTTTAAGTTTTAGGCCCGCACAATGTAAACCTATACCCACCATTGAACAGGGCTTTCCATTCATGAAGCGAAATCACATGACATTTAATACATGCCTTGCCGCCAATTTGTTTTCATCAAAGTCACGTAGTATTCCGAAGAACAAGATTAAAAACATTTTTCTTCATTCTGTCTGACCTTTACTCAAAAGGGGTGAGGTGTTTCAGAAGAAATAGATATTGATATTAATGCTTTCTCTGAATCTTGATTACTTGTTATACTGGGTGAGTGGTGAAGGCAGCCTCGATGGATATTCATTTAAAAAATGACAATGATGAAGTTCATTTTTAGACTGTCATTGACTGAGATCATTCATTTTCATTCATGAAGCATGGGTCAGAAAATTGAATGCGGTTAATGCCGGATGCGCAGGGGGCTCATTTGTTCTAGAGGACTTTGTCAGCGAATGGCATCGCCTTTGACGCATATTATGAGAATGAATGACGATGTAGATAGATTGAATAAATCCGTGCAATGAATTTGATACTGGAGCATTTGAGGATTGCCTTAAAAGACTTAACGCAATTGAAACGACGCCTCTTGAATAAAAAACTACTTTTAATTACTAACGTATGAGGAATGGATTAATTAAATATATAAATAAATATTACCCATAATGTTAAGTCACAACATACATGATATCGCGTCTGAATAAAAATACACAAAAGAATATCGTACTTTTTTTTTACAGTAACAATAATAAAACAGATGAACACAATTTCTAAGAAGTTTCCCATTCATCTTATTGTAATGGTCCTATCTTGGAGTCTATGCATGCAGAATCGATTGTAGATCATTGGCATCGACTGTGTTATGGATTATAATACTCTTGCCCAAATAAAGAACACTGAATTACAATACTCGTTTTGTTTTTCTAACTTGTGTGTAAGGTGGATAATGTTAAGTTACTTTCCAACAGTCTAACATACTACTGATTAACCTACTAAAGTTTCTTTAGTTTGCATTTGTTATTACGTTGATTCATCACGGGAGTGCTCTTTATTTTAACTTATGTAAAGACCATACTCCAATAAGACAAGGCCCATTTGATAAGAGAAACATAACACTAACCCCCATGTGCCATTCTACATACCCAAGGGGCAGGGCACATTTCTCTGACGAAACGTAACATGAACATTGGTGGAGGAATGGTTCATTGGTGAATAGAAACTTAGCCCTGACCATGGCAAGAGAATGGTCCATAAACTTGATGAAACACTACCCTTCAAATAATGGGATAAACTAACGACAGGAATATGGGAGTGACACCTCATCAATGTGTTAATGTTAATCTTCCTTGTTTACTTAAAACATACAAAGTTGAGTGGTCGGCGCTGGTCGAATGAAACTTAGACCATACTCCAATGAGACAAGGCCCATTTGCCACGAGAAACATAACACTAACCCTAATGAGCTATTCTACTCTAGGGGCACATTGGTCTGCCGAAACGTAACATTGGACAAGGATGGAGGAATAGTCCATTAGTTATAAAAAAACCTATAGCCCTGACCCTGGCCGCAAAATGATGGTCCATTGACTTGGGGAAACATTAACCTTCAGATAATGGAATAATTATACTAACGACAGGAAGCTATGTCCAGTGTTGAAACATAACGCTGGACATACTTGGGCGTAGAGACCTGGGGCGTTTCACGAAACTTGCCATCAGTGACAAATGACAGTTTTTGTTATAAGATATTGAAATCCTTGCTTCTGATTGGTTATCAGCAGATTTGTCACTTATTTTTGTAATTTGTCATTGAAAACAGAGGCTTTGTGAAAATGGTCCCTGATGTGACTACGGCCCATTGATCTGAGGAAACATAACTCTGTATAAAACAAACGGGGCATGAAGGGACGTTCCTAGGGGCCATATTTGTTTCAGGACACCAAGCTTTCTATCATAACCCTAACTTTGAGAAGACGTTGATTCAGAGACTTCCCTTCGCGAAGATATCTCCGGCGACAATTTCTCGCTGTCAATATCGCACACTGTCTTAGTAAAATGGTAAGTTTGAGCCTGCACTATCAAAACACTGAACCTAACCCTAACCATAAATCTTAACTACATGTAAAAGGCAATTTCTACTTAAACTTCACAACCATACGTCTCTGACAGAATTGAGCCCGGAGCACTTGTCTCCACAGAAGATACCAGGTCATCCCTCATGCAGCAGCTTTTCTTGCCCTCTATCAGAATGATCACAACTGGCATACTACAAAGCTAGTTGTATAGCGTTGTTAACATCAATTATCAGATCACTTTGAGAACTTATGACGTCTCATAACTTGCCGCCTGCCTGCGCATTGACATAGGTTCAACTGATTTCAATGGACATAATATAATGAGAAATTTCCTCTCGTCTGATACGGACCACCCCCGGCCCTGTATCATATGATATTAAAATGAAATGCTTTTCTTTGCGATAGCGCAATAGACCATTTTCGTTATCTAATAAAATTGAATGCATAAATTACATAAGTGCCATGTTTTTAATTATTCCATTCAGCTGCTACAAATATTTTGTTTCTGTAGTGAGAATGTGAATTTCGTACATTAGTTGTAGCTTGGTAGGACAAACATCTGGCTATTGAAATACAATTTATCATGACAGGGGAATTTAATGATATTTAAAGGGCCCATGACATCGACATACAAGGGTATTCCTGTTGGTGAGCAGTCCTGCATACATCTCATATTTTGATATGTAAACTTCTGAATTTGTTTCATAGATTTTTAAATATTTGTTTAAATATTTGTTTTTCAAACTTGCTAAGCTCCACCCCCAAAACCTCCAGACCTCATTCCCCTTGTGACATCATCTGTCAGTCATCAATGAGCTAACTTGAGAAAGTGGTATGTATCTTTGCCGAAGTCGACCACATGTTACAATACGTAATACAATAGCAACATACAAGTTGCTATGTCAGACATGATGTAACATCACCAGGAAGACAAAAGCAATGATGATGTATTGTACTGCATGGAAGCATGCAATTCTATTAGGAACGTGTGCTAAGCTGGGGAAAATTAAATACCATTGTCTATTCTAGAATATTAGTTTAGTCTGACATAGCAACTTATATGTCGCTATTGTTTGTGGTATTGTAACAGGTGGTCAACTTTGGCAAAGTTACTTGCCACTTTCTCAAGTTAGCTCATTGATGACTGAGAGATGATGTCACAAGGGGAATGAAATCTGGAGGTTTTTGGGGTGGAGCTTAGCAAGTTTGAAAAACAAATATTTAAACAAATATTAAAAAATCTATGAAACAAATCCTGAAGTTTACATATCAAAATATGAGATGGAATACACTTGTATTTCGATGTCATGTGCCCTTTAACGAGGCACTTCACAAAGATATGAGCATTAAATTTGATTAAATTACGAACATGACCTATTGGATATGAGGGGTAGATATAAGTCTCCCCATTGCGACTACTCACTTCGTGTGTTGGTGTAGGATTGCTCGATGATGTCTTTGAGGCGGTTGTCCTTGATTGGAGGGATGGGGTAGTACGGATTCTCATAGGAGAAGGCGTGCTGTACCTTGATACCGTGCAGTGGCAGGAACTTCTCCAGTCTGGTGTTAGTGATGTAAAGAGGTAGAGAAAGAGAGAGAGAGGGGGGAAGAGAGAAAGAGAAAGGGAGAGAGAGAGAGAAAGAGAGAGAGAGGGAAAGAGAGAGAGAGAGAAAGAGAGAGAAAGAGAGAGAGAGAGAGAAAGGGAGAAAAGGAGAAAGGGAGAAAGGGAGAAAGGGAGAGAGAGAGAAAGAGAGAATGGGAGAAAGGGAGAAAGAGAGAGAATGGGAGAAAGGGAGAAAGGGAGAAAAGGAGAAATAGAGAGAGAGAAGGAGAGAAAGAGAGCGAGAGAGAGAGAGAGAGAGAGAAAGAGAGAGAGAGAGAGAGAAAAAAAGGAGAAATTAGAAAAAACACAGATACGAATAGAACACTTTTAAAATGTATTCAATTTATACGTTTACATAACGACGAGCTATTGCATTCATGAAATGTGTAAGATTGTATAGTCAGAATGCAAATTGCATAGTTTGTTGCTAGGTCGGATAAATATTATGAATTGCCCAATCTACAACTACGTTATGTATGCACTTTGCATTTTGTCTATTGAAATACAATTAACATTGTTTCCGTTATGTAATCAAATGTTATTTATTAGTCTTTAAGTTCCTTGCTACAAATTATTGCATCCGCTCGTTAAGAATAATTGCATTCCACTAGCCAGGATCCGAATTGCATACATTATTTTTATCGTCATAGAATTTGATTGGGAGGGTTTAGCTTACCCGGTTCGATATGGGCACAACATGGCAAGTAGTTGTAGACAAGCACAAACCAACAAAATATACGCCATGTTGTCATCTAGCGAAACCAAGTTGGCCAAATTTGGTGTATCGATGGCTCTTGTTATTTATAGGTAGGCCAAATATTATGACTTGTCCCCTGTAGCAACACGTATGTAATTTGGATTCTGACTACTGAAATATAATTATTCGTAACAGGTGAATGAAATGATTCGTAACGAGGCACTTACCAAACTAAGACGTATGCATTAGATTTGATTACATTAAAGGTAATACAAAGTTTTGGGAAATTTTGAAAATTGGGTGGATAGTGATTTTTTTACAATTTTGATATATTTGGATGCCCCTGTGGATGTATTATAAGAACTAGAAAATTTAGCCCCTAAAACACTTCTGCTTTCGAGAAAAATTGAATATAAAAATTTACCGGTGCAGCCGGTAAATTTTGATGAATTACAAATAGCGTCTACGGCCGTTCAATGGTAGCTGCGACCATGCAAATCTCAGAATACGTAGTTGTGATATATAATTTCCAAACGGGAATATCTAATCGCTCGAATTAAGTCAAGAAACATTGTTTTATAGCTTAATTAATATTTTGACTTTGAGAGGGAGCTATACAACATACAGAGTGTATTATTTACAATTTCATAACTTTAGACTCGATTTCAACCGCGACAATGATCACTAAATATTATAGGATCGCATTTGCTTCCAATTCATGACCCCATACCAAAACGTTGTATTACCTTTAACAAAAATGGTTGATATGTTATATGAGATATAATTTCGGTTCAAGTACCGTGTGAAATAGAAAACATACTCCCTCCACTTCAACCTTGAGCGAAGTATTTCTTCTAGGAAATTGAATTTTACGAAACATATATTTATCCTGTCAATAACTATTATTTGTTAATAGGACAGGTTATTAGAACATATCAGAGGGACATCAGTTTTAGTTTGATACTTTGCACATTAAAGGTGACGACTTTCGACAATTTTTGTTTTAAATAATGAAGGCAGGTGATATTTGTCAAACTGATGTAACTCAATCATAAATTGTTAACGAACACAAAACGATGAACATAGCAACAAGAAAGGGAACTTATAGGTTGTCAGAGAACAAGAACAAAACAAAACTGTCGACAAGAGAGAAAAATGTCAGCTCAGTTGGCCTCCTTCCTTTCTTAATTTTCTTAATAATAATAATAATGATAACCAGGCTCTGACGCTCATGGCGCTTTACACATATTACCCCTGGTCGTAGCCGAGCTGCCAAAGTAACTATAGCGCTCACGCATATCAGGTACCCATTTACACCTGTGTGGAGAGTGACAAATGTAGATTAACGTCTTGCCAAATGACATTAGTGCCGCGGCGGGACTTGAACCCCGTACCCTTGTGATCTGCAGTCGGGTGACTGATCCACTAGTCCACAACACCTCTACTTACCTGGTCATAACCCGCGAAAACTGGAGATCTTTAGCCGCCACCACGCTCACCACGTTCCAGTTAAACTGCTTGAGAAGTGCTAACACGGACTCGGACACCTTCTCCGTCGTCGGGACGGTACGGGCGAACGTTCGGTAGGTCTCCTTGTCACTCACCGCTGGTTCCTTGCAAAACTGCAGAGACGAAATGGGAAAAGTCAAAGAAAAGATGAAGTATGAGTTATATCTGTCACGGTAGGGTATCGTATCTCAACTCAACTGGAAGGTTGATTGCAATATTTAACCACGCATCTTTGCTCTCTATAATTCGCATAATGCCCCCTTGCACTGGTGTTACTGCACTTCATGTTTAAATATTCTCTTTCTAGATGGTTATCGGCTTCGCTCTTGACCTATTATCTTTTTCCTCTTCTTCTTCTTCTTTTTCCTCTTATTTTTCTTATATTTTTCTTTTCTTATTCTTATCCTTATTTTTATTCTATTTTTATCCTTCTTGTTATCCTTCTTCTTCCTCTTCTCCTTCTGCTTCTGATCATTCTCCTTCTTATTCTTCTTCTCCTTCTTCTTCTCATTCTCCTCTTCCTCTGCCTTCTTCTTCTTCCTCTTCTTCTTCTCCTTCTGCTTCTGATCATTCTCCTTCTTATTCTTCTTCTACTTCTTTTAGTTCTACTTCGCCTTCTCCTCCTTCTTCTCCATTCTGAACATTATGGACCGGCTTTGGCGTATCATCATGCCTTGTGCAGTTGTACTTGTCAAGTGTCGAACGTACAGTGCAACTTCAATCAAAAAAGGTATAAAACTGAATTCTATGCGCAGCTAGATACCTTCTGCTTTCCCTTCTAACATGTCTAATAAGGGGAAAATAGCAAAACTTTGACACGTTTCATCTATCAGAGACTGACACAATAGCCCATTTACGTAATGTAATCAAATTTAAAGCACGAATCTTTGTTTAAGTGCCTCGTTTACAAAACAAAAATGGCCTATTGAAGCGACCGTTAAAGGGCAATCCATCCTTTGTCATGAGAACACGAGCGCATTCTACGAACAAAAAAATAAAAAGCTGTATTGAATAATTTTGATAGCATTAACAAGCAGCTGTTGAAATAGAAAGTACTTTTACTAACAAAGGTGAGACTTAACAGGTAAATGTGTAAAATTCTGGAGCATAAAGGAAACACTTTAATGATAATAACAAACAATTACCCTAATTTTCCCGACTAGCATAATTCCAATTTCCTATGTTGGAGCGTTGTGATAAACTTGTTTATCTACTTCATCCGAATGATGGATATTAAACGCATGATGCCTTGAATATGCCCTGAAACAATGCATTATCTTACGAGAATGAAGTCTTCCGCAGAGATCAATAGTGCGTTTTTGACACGCATAACTGATGACATCACGTCATGAGTTATGCGATGTGCATGTACATTTTACCCTACCCATCCGCCACAAAAAAGAATAAATAAATTAATAGAAGAAGAATATATTACCCTGGAGTATTCATGATAATATTTATGAGACACATGTGAAGTTTTCATTATCTATTGCCCTCGACGCTTCCACGAGCCACTGTATTTTCGGACATGGCACACGTTGAAAATATTCAAATAGTATTGATATTTATTTCAAAAAATGTTCTTGACAACTAAAAGATTTCCCGAGGATTGCTCGACATAGCAACAAGTAATGTGTGCGGACGGTAAACTCGACACTGAGTCCCCGTGAAAGAAACATCCATAGAGTTGAACTAATGAGCCGGTTTATTACTCGTTGCGCTATCACTATAGAGGCAATGGATTAATTATACGGTTAAGTGTCCATGTGTCACACCGTGAAAAGGGGGGCAATCAAGCTAATTGCGATTCGTTAATGTACAACTCATTAGTAAAGAGTGATTCTACGACCCCAATTTAGACATCACTGCCACACATGTGTTCCACAAGCACAGCAAAAGTAGCATTAAAGATACATTTGTCAACATAATGTAACCATACAACAGTACTACAATAGATTTTTACTGATTGCACTGTCGGCTAATGGCCCTATCGGATGTTTCTTTCCTGCGGACCTCATGACAAGTTTAATCCATTAACATGTCATCAATGAATAAACTGCAATACTTTGCATCAAGTCTACATACATTATTTGTTGCTATATCGGGAAAATCTCGGGTAAGCTTTCAGGTTGTCAAGAACAACCTTAGTTTAAAAAGCATACATAACATTTGAATATGTTAGTAATCCGGTCTCTTGCGGTTGCACATGAGGCGTCATTTTGCTTGCGTTATTACATGCGCTAATAAAGCCTGTTGAGATAATCAGCGCATACGCCAACGTTCAAAGCTATGTTCACTTTGTTGATTTTACAGTAATTTGTGTGCGATATAACTCTCCTATGACGCAGCATTTAAAGGCCGAGTCAGCTGTTGACGCAGCTTTACGTCAGAAAAATAGCGCATCGTGTGAAACAGGCATTAGATTTATATTAACGCCGTCCAAGTCGGCGCGACGGTCCTCTATAGCTAAACCTAAAGATCTACAATTTTGACCTCGGCTCTACAAGATAATGAGTTCACATCTGTAATAGATTTGTCTAAGTGGTTATTTGTCGCAGCCGCATTGACATAATTATCTGTGGTCAATGATGCAAAGACCAATCTCAATTATTTGTTTTCAACCAATTAACTCTCCTCCCCTTATTACAATCATAATTAAACCTTTTACTTTGTATAGCTATTAACCCGTTGACTACTAAATCATCTCGTTCCCAAGGACTTTATACAGTGCGTACCCAGAAAAAACGAAAACGAGAATTATCGATGTTTTATCATAACTTTATCACGATTATAATTGAAGTCTTTCGTCTACGGCTGATTGCCAACGAAACGGAGTTAAGTCTTTTGTACAATTCTGCTTGTTGCTACGGCAGGCAGCCATTGAAAACGAATTCGTTTGATAAAATTATGGAAATGCAAGCACTACTTTAAACAAACAGAACTTTGTCATTCCTTGCTCATTTTTCCTGATTGAGGTGTCATATGAAAGGGCAGAAACTCAACTTTCTAGAAATGTGATTTTCTCGTTGAAATTCAGATACCGTCCGCAAAATGACTTTTTGGTTTCCTCTCTTTAAATTGATTTTAATGTGTGATTAAAAGCTATCATGTAATAACTCACCCTCTATATATATCCATGCTCTCTCTCCCCTCTCTCTCTCTCATAAGCACATACACCCACACACATAATCACTCACTCATTTACCATGCATGCCACTTATCATGTTTTCATAATTGTTCGACATTGTCCAAGGAATTAAAATAAGATGAAGCCTGTTCGATGCCACCATAAAGTAGCCTTGTATCATAAACCATTGGACAGTGCGCGTGCAATGTCGCGATTAACCGGTATAAAGATCCACTACAGGCCTAATAGACCTGGTCATGCTAAGACCATATTCCTAATTATCATAGCAGCCGTTTGACAGTGATTAATCACCTAATTAACAGTAATCGAATTATCTTCCCCTGCATAATTCTATCACGAAGAAGAGCAAGCCAAATTGCTTAATGATTATCACAAAAAATTCGTAAAAAAAAGGACAGAATTAAATTCTAAGCACGCACTTTTTAAGTATAGAATATAGAATGTTTTTTTCACGCTTATTCAAGGTACATTCTGTGAGCCCATGTGTACTGAGCACATCATTCGTAATGTCCCCTTTATTAAAACAGACATGGTTTATATAAGTCCAAAAAATAAAATGGTCTGGGCTTTCTTGTGAAATTTTCCAGGATGTTAAGGAATAACTTACCGAAGCTTCTAGAAAAAAATCTCAACAGGGATGAAGACAATTCAATAGTCGTAAAAATGCGATCCATTTCAATACCATACTTGCCCCATGTTCTCGGTCATTTCTCCTACGGTGTGTTGATTTTGGTGACAAATGTACACAAGCAGACACCCTCTGAACTTTAAGAGACATAAAATGATACTCACACGGCTTACATGGATAAAGGTTAGGAAGCGTACATAAAATAAAATCGCGATTTACTTGCTACTGCACGTTTTGGGGCGAGTTATTTTACGATAAATTGATATAGAGTATCTTGGTGAATGAGAGCAATTCTATCTAATTTTCAGAAAAACGGTAAAGGCAGGGATGGAAGAGAAAGGACAGATTAAAAGTGCAACTTCCAGGAATGCAATATATTCTGTTTAGAAGTTCAGGAACCCAAGTGCTCCGCCGGAAAATTTTCATCCAAATATAGCATTCGCTAGTAACAAGGTTCATTCACAAAACCATGAATAATGTCTCTCAACCTTACTTACACAATCTTATCAAGCGTCTACAAGGACGTTTGTGAGGATGTTATTCATATATGTTACAGTCCAGTGTTTTGCGAAAACATCCGTGCGTTTCTACGTTGCCGACACGCGTTGAGTGGGCTTACTCTGAACCATCGGGTCATCGCGTTGGGTCGGGTGGTCGCGTAACCCTACCTTTTGTGAAAATATGCTCCTTTATTCACGACATATCGGGGGTAATGTTTGTGAAATGTTTTATGAAAAACTTACGATTAAATCTACGAAAGGTCGTACACCCCAACCACCCGACCGGACGCGAAGTCCCGATGATTCAAAGTAAGCCCGTTAACTGCACTGTTACGTTGGACCGCTAGATATTGGAGGTTGGGAGCATGAAAGGAGTGAGAGTGGGCATGGCATACGAGAGAGAGAGAGAGAGAGAGAGAAAGAGAGAGAGAGAGAGAGAGAGAAAGAGAGAGAGAGAGAGAGAGAGAGAGAGAGAGAGAGAGAAAGAGGGGAGGGGTGGAGAGACAATTCACACACCTGCACACTACCCAAGGTGCCCACATTGCGTTTATTTTAGGTTCGCTGTGACGACGTTCTCTCCCTCCAGCTCCCTCCAGCAGGGAGGGGAAAAGGTAAAGAGGGGGAGGTGATACGGAGGGGGTGGAAGGGAGTGGGAGTGGGTGAGGGGGGGGGGGACTCTCGACAGACGCGGAGAGGAGGGAGGGAGGGTAGAAGAGAGACAGGTGGGGGAGGGAGAGACAGAGGGAGTGACGGAAGCGCAAGAAATATGGAAATGTTTCTAGTTGTTATCCCAGGCTAATACAATGTACGTCATTTCCTGTTTATTTTTGT